CTGAGGGAGGCAAAGGAAAGGGAGAGCACGCTGGAAAAGGAAATTCCTAGCTTTTAAAAATGATTATGATTATTTTCCTTCTTTTTTTGGTCTCTGCAAATACTTGTGAGCTGATTTCTTCTACTTGCAGTGAGTTTCATTAGAAGAGGGTCTCCCCAAAGCAGGCAGGGAGCAGCTGGCTGGCTGGGTGTCAGAAGCTCGGTTCGGGGAGGTTGTTGGAAAGGGATTGGGGAAGCTGGAGGAGGAAAATTGCTCAGGGGACCCCTGAGAGAAAGGAGAAGATGGAACAATAGGCAGAGTGCCCTGGATTTACCTTGCTGCCGGGGATACAGCTGGAAGACGGCAGCGCCTGTATCAGTGTCGCACGAGAGCTGGGATCTCTAATGAGACTCTATGTAAGCTTCAAAAAATGCATCCCAAGCCGCAGGCGAAGGAGTACAGTCAGTTTGAGCCCAGCTAAGAAAAATTCCCGCTACTTCAGCATCTAGTGCAGGTGTCTGTGTAAGCCATCAGCGAGTCCCATGCCACTGACCTCAGCTCTGTTGTCAGCAGGTTGCAAGAAGTGCTTGCAAGACTTTTTATGACTTTCAAGTGATTTAACTCCCCGGTGAAAGGAATTCGGTGGGGTTGGTTTTTTGCCCTTACTTGTCTGCAACCGGTCCTTTCCGATACTCCAGGAACGCTGCTGCTATTGTTGGTGGTGTAAGGCAGGGGTTTGGAACAACTGGAGAAGCTTACCTCCGTAGGGTGCTTTCCATAAACACCAGGTGTGTGCATGGCATGTCCCTGCCTAAATCAGCAAGAAAGTCATAACCCGCGGGTCGGAGGCAGGTACTAATAGGCTCGTGGGGCACATGTTCTTTAATTACCTCCCCAAAGACACACACGTTTAACCTTCCAAGCTGCAATCTGTGATGAGTCTCCACGTTAAAAGAAACTGAAAGCAAAGCCATTGCATCTGTTTGGGCTTAGTTCAATCTGCCACGTAGGATTTCTATCAGCTCTTTTTATGTATCGTTATATAAGTAAACAGCCAGTTTCAAGTGGTAGCATTTATCTCAGTTCCATTTTTTTAATAAAGATTGAGGAAAATAAGTGTATTTCCAAGCAAACTTTGGAAAAACACATTGAACAGGCTAAAACTTTTCATGAATTTTGCATGCTTCGGCTTAAGTCACACAGTGCATCCAATAAATCGAAGCATTGGCATTCCCTAAGTGCTTTAGCAGTCAGAATCCAGCTACGTAAACTAGACCAGACTTCAGATATTATAGTTTTCTGCTTCAGGGTTTTCCCAGAGGCAGTGTAAAATAAATAGTTATTTGTTGTAATTGCAAGACAAAGCCCCAAAGGATTAGACTGGAATCCTCATGTTCAGATAAAGTTGGACTGAACCTCGCTTCAGCACAGTCTCAAAGCAATAACGTATTGGCACAGAGCATTCACCATCTGCATTCAGTAGCCATGAATATTTAAATTCCAGTGTTACTGGTATGGTTCCTATTAGGATGTCATGTATCGATGCATTCCTAAATTTTGCATGCAGCAGTCAGAAAGCAGTAACTTAGTGCAGGACCAGGCAGCCTGAGTGATTCTGGGGACCTACAGAACTGTGGGGAGGGATACAGAGCTAGACAAGGGGTTTAAGGGTAGCGGTTTAGAGCTGCCTTAAATCTAGGAGCATCTGGGACAATACTTCAATCCAGTATGGTGGTGTGGTGGATCAAGCCCCCACGGCTGGAAGGTGCTTCCCGATACCATTAACGTGCTCCATGGATGGCTGTGACACTGCAGTGGAGGCACAGATCCAGCTGCAGGTGGGATGTAGGATAGAACTGGACTTTGCATCTCTGCGTCTTAATACTGGAAGTGGTTCAGGAAGAGAAGGACAGTATCTGCACCCTCCCATGCGCAGCCAAAAGCTGCCAGATGTGCAAGACATCCAGGTCTTCCAGAGAAGAAAACAAAGAGCTGAAGCCCTGGTGATGCAGAGCAGAGAACCGAGGTCCTAACAGCAAGGGTTAAAGGGCAGAATTCTTCTGTACCACAGCATTCAGGGGATGTGACCACAGGACAAACACTGCCTGAGCCATCACCGTAACTATTCGCTCTCATCTGTCAAGGACTGCAGCATTCCCAAATCACACCTGTCTTCTGGAACATGATATTCCATACTTGTAAAAACACAGCTTCGTGCAAGAACAATGTGGCACAGCTTATTTTTCCTTGAGGAGGCTTAACACAGAGTTTGGTGAAGCCCTCCAGGACTGCTGGAAGAAAGCTTCTTCTCACACTGAAGTGCCCAGATTCATGCTCTGAACCACCAGCTCCACTTAAAGTCATCCCAGAAAGAACAAAGTCTTTTCAAGAATGTATCTATTCTCCTTGCATCTGCTGAGAACCTTCCTGTACAAAGAAACAAAGGACAGTCAAAACCTGGAGGGGGTTTGGACTGAGATTAGTGCCCCTATGAGAATCCTTCCTGGAATAAAACCAAGGTAAATTCACCAGGAAAACCCATGCCAGGAGGAATTGCTCCTTCTCTGCCTCGTGCCTGTTCTGCAGCAGCGTTAAACAAGTGACACCAACGGCTCTTCAGGAGAGAAAAGGCCTCGAGTTCGTACTGCACACTAACAAAGGCAGCAAACAAAGCTGCTCTTGGGTACAAACCCACTAATGGATCTGCAGTGCCAGCTCCGAGGGAAGCTGATGAAACCTCCAGGGAGAGTTTTGCTGTCGGTTTTGCCCTTCAGAACGTGGTGCACCTGTTGCTGAACAGTTGTTGAGGTTTTTAGCCGAAGCTTTAGGTTTGTGGCCATTAATACAACATCTGATGTTTCTGTACCCGGCTCCTGAATTCAGTCATGTAAGAAGAGACAGGTGCAAGGAGCTGAATTGTTCTTTGAGGGATGGTTTAGAGTAAGGCGAGAGCGTGCGGGTCCCTGCACAGCAAAGCTTGGGAGATTACTCAGTGCTTTTGGTGGTAAATGAATCCCGTTGGAGTCTTAATCAAATCTCTCCCAGTAATTCTCTAGAAAGGCTCAAGGAACAAACAGAATGAATAGTCAAAGCAAGGAAAAGAGAAAGAGAAAAGGCAAGTCCTGGGGGGAAGAAACAAGAACAAGAGGCACGTTCACCACCAACACACGCCGCTACAATTGGGGAGAGAATTCTTGCGCTGGCCCCAGTGGCTGCTCCCTGTGCTGCTGCGGATCAGATGTAGGGAGCTGCAGCAGCTGGAGTGAGCCGAGGACAGGATGGATATCCACCCAGTTTTTCGGCCTTCACTCTGTCTCCTGACTTTTGTGGGTTTAAGTTATGTTCTCAACGCTGTTTCAACAGAGTTGTCTTCCCTGCACATCTCTAAGTGCTGCTCGGAGATCAGAGAAGGGGAACACTGCAAGGGACACTGTCAGAGGAGATGGGCACAGGCACACCTTGAGGAGGTTTCATCTTCAAAACCAAACTGCACCAGATGAGGGGTTCACCCACCTGCCCAGGGAGGGGAGATGTTAATGCTGCTCCAGGTTGCTCCTTACCAGGTCTTTGGAGAGCTGGGTTCACGTGCCAGGTACAGAGCGTGCTTGTGGGTATACTCAAGAGAAGCTCTCTGTTTCCCTGCCTCAGACATCCCTTGGTTTCTAGATGGGACCAGCAGCATTTTCCTGCTTCCCAGGAGTGACAGAAGACAAACACAAAAAAGCTGGTGCTGAGAACTGTGTCTGTACCTATAGGAAGGTCCATCTACTGCTCTCCAGTTACGAGATGTTTTTCACATCCTCTTGTCTCCAGCCTGGGAAAGATTCCCCTGTTTCTGGGTATCCCAGTATTCCTTTACCCCCTGCAGTGCTTTTTACGCTCTCTAGTGGTTGTGAATCTTCCTTCCCTCCCTTTCAAACAGTGGCTGTCATCACCTCTGTCCTGCAGATGGGAAAAGGGAAGCACGCAGCAGCTCAGTAACTCCCTCAGTGTGTCAGAACCGGTGGGTAGCAGAGGCAGAACATCATCACTCATCCTGCCCTTCTTCCCTCCCCATTTATGGGCTTCTTCTCAGATAAGAAACCACAACAACTACTGGGGAGCAAGCAGAGCAGAGCCAGGGTCCTGGTCCGGCTGCATGGCTTGGGAAGGCTGCCTTCCCTGCCTGCACTGCCAGCTCCTGGTGTTTCTGAAGGCAGTGTGTCCCCAGGCATGTTTCAGCCTGGAAAATACCTGCACTAGTCCATAAAGCATGTCTTCTGCTGTTTGCTTCCTTGTTTGTCTCATGGAACTGCTGCTCCCAAGTCTGTATTTCATTTCTCTTTGCCCCCAGCACCCTGTGGCTGCAGGGAGTGCTGGATTTGAAGCACAAGCCCCAAAGTAGGCAGGGCAAAAGGAGGACAGAAAATCTGATAAAAGGTAGGAAGGCTAATTCTTGCAGCCAGCTTCTGACTGATGAGCATGCATTGAGCAAAGGGGGACAGAGGTGTCCATCACCGTCTGGTCTGTCCTATATTTAGGTGGTGATGCAGTTATGTCTGTGAGCTATTGCATCCAGGCCTGGCCAAGCAGAAGACACATGCCCCGAGCCAAGGGGTGACTGGAGTCAGCCGGCTCAGGTGGCTGCTGTCACGCGGTGATTTTAGACTCGAGGCAGACTTTCAAGAGGCAGTAACCTGATCAGAGCAGCAATTGCTCAGGACCAGGCGTTTTGGGAGCTATATTAAGAGGCCTGGAGCCACGCTAAAGGTTAGAGCAAGTCTGTCCTCCTGGCGATGGCAACGTCTTGTCCAGCCGTTAGATGCGATGGTCAAAACCTTCTTCCTTTCTCTGCTGCTGCCTCCCAGCTGAAGACCGCCCATGACTTCTAAGGAGGGTGAGTGTGATAACCAGAGTCAAACACAATCCCACCAATGCCTTCAGGAGGTTTTCCTGTGGAATTTGAAGGTCTCCACCACTTGTGATGTTGGCTTTGTTCAGACCAGTTAAACACACACCTACTTGGGGGCTGTTTAAGTGCTTCACCAAGGGTTCTCCTGTTCCAAGTCTTCCCTCCACCAGAACAGGCACTCACCCCAGAGCAGGCAGCACAGCAGACCCTGCTGAGTTCTCTGCCAGAGGAAATGAGGCTGCCCCTCATTGTTTGGAGCATCTGACACCACTGTTGTAGGCTAAAGCCCATGGGGGACAGACGCTGCTGGACCAGGCAGGGGCTGGCACGAGGCTTGGGGTGACGGAGGAAGGACCGGCAGCTCCCCAGCACTGAAGGCTGCAGAGGAAGATGCATTTCTACCTATGTGTATTAGAAGCTGGATTTTATCCCTGTGGCTTATATACACATCTGGGGATGGCAAGTACCCCACTGGAGTGCCAGGATGAAGATGGCCCTCACCGACATCTCTTCTAGTGCTTTTTACTTCTTTCTGTTGAACTCATCACTTTAAAACACATGGGACTATCACCTCAAACCAGAAGCCCCTTGGTGACAAAAATCACTCTCCTTTTAGTGAAGAGCAAAACCCAACGTGGCAACAGCCTTCTGAAATTTCTAGTGGGTCGGGGACAAGTTTCTACATCTGTCTTCTGGGTGATACCTAAGGAAAACCAAGACCCAAACCCCAAAACCAAAACAACAAAACCTAGCAAACCTTTTCTTATTAGCAAAGGTAATTCCTCTTTGTGCAGGTCAAACGGTAGGGAGAAGCCTAGAGTGGCAATCTGAAGATTGCACACATATGGGCTATAGATTAAGAACTGTGTTGTTATAAATGAGGAAAATGGGGTCTGTAGGAAACTGCAAGGGCTGGGAAAGGCTGGTTTGTCACGGGAACCTGGTGATGGTTTTATTCTCTGTATGACCCGGACTTTTTTTTCCTCTTTCAGGGATTTTGGAGTTTATTAGCCTGGCAGTGGGGCTGGTGAGCATCCGTGGGGTGGACTCAGGACTCTACCTCGGCATGAATGAGAGAGGCGAGCTCTATGGGTCGGTAAGTGTAGGGGTTAAACAGCATCCACAGCAACGGGGCTGCGGGGCCTCATCAGTGTCATGAGCTGTGTCTGTCACAGGCCTCCAAGGTCCTTGGGCTGCCACATGCCTCCCTCCTACCCTGATGCCACTGTTGTCGTAACATGAATGATGCAAGTGCAATAGGGTTGTGGAGGGAGGATGCAGTCGTGCCTGGAGAACTGGGGGGGCTTGTCAAGGTTTTGCCTTTCAGAAACAGTGTGGGAACAGTCAACTAAAGGCAGGGGGAAATGGGAAATTTAGCATAAAGCCAGGGGCTGCTTCTGGGCTTTCACTGCCAAACACATCAGTGTTACACTGCATGGGCAGGGTCTGCATCCATCTGCAGATGTTATGTTCCTGTTACAGCTCTTTAACTAACGGAAGCTGAGTTGAGGTCGTAACAGCTGGGCAGAGGTGCTTCCTACAGGTTAACTGAACTCAATTCCTAGTTATTTAATTTAACTCAATTCCCAGTTATTTAACTTAACCCAATGTAAACCAGTTATTTCTACTTAGGTAGAAGAGTCACTTCTATTCTGAACCATTAACTGCATTCCAGACAGCCAGTTTTAAGTTTCCTTTTCAGTAGCTGCTGTGCTTCATTGGTGCTTTTTCTTCAGATGCCCCATTGGCTTTAGTTCAACCCATCACCCATGTGTGATTTTTTAAATGCCTCTTCCTAGATCACAGCACTACCCTGTATGTGAAGAGGACACTGATTTTTAAGGATGGATCACAGTAAATTTTAAATGAAATAAACCAAACTGGTTTTAAACCGAAGTGGAAGGCACGTACTTCCTCTAACCAGATCAGATCAATCTCACAGTGTAGGAACTTACACTTGTGTACTCTGCATAAAGGGAAGCTTTCTGAAAGCCTCTGCTTAGCAAACAGTAGACCACGAGTTTCCATCATCTTGTCTTCTCCCCTTCCCATCTGAGACTGCCACAGACTCCTTCACTATTTAAGATGCAGCTACTGATGTCTATATGAGATAATCAAATACTAACATGCATCAAAAACTTCCTTTTCCACTTCATTTTCTGTAATAACACCCACCCTACACAGAAGTTAAATGTGGAGACAGGGGTTAAATTACAAATGTTTGAGACAGATAAATGTAAAATCACCAGATTCCATGAAACATAAAAGAACCTTGAAGCACAGTTCAGAACGCAGGGCTGGTTCTGAATACAGCACCTCCTCTCCTGTCAAACCCCGGGGCTGCTCAGCAGCTCCTGGAGGTGCAGCTTTTCCTGGTGGAAAGGAGGACACAACCCTGCCTATTCCCTTCCCTGCTTCCAAACCCTGCAGCTCTGCTGATGAATCAGCAGTTTCATGATGGGTTAATTAAACTATAGCGCCTGAGTACAGGTTATGGCACAGAAACAGAAGTATGACAATGGCTTTTCAACATCGAGAGCCACTCCAGTATTCCTAAATAAAGGTCCATAAGACAGCACCTGACAGCAGCATTAGCATTACAATGGTATTTTAGGAGAGTACAGTACAGCTGTAATCAGCAGGTTATCATTTCCCTCTGTGCCAGTTTCGATGTGTGTGTTGATGCAGCCAGAGCCAGCCATGCCCAGCGACACGTGGAATCCCCTCAGGACACTGTCCCTGCCTGTCCCTGTGAGCCTTGTGCCAAGGTTTCTGTTAAGCTTCCCTCTGATTTCAGAAGCACAACTAATACTTAGAGCAGTGACAGGCACAGGCAGCACTTTGCACACTGCTATACACAGTGTCAGGCTCAGTGGGGACATCCCAGGGCTCGGAAACAAATAAATCCCACCTCGACTCACCCCGGCCTCTCCAAACATCTGACACAAACACTGCACCTCCAGACAGCCCAGTGAAGAGCAGGTGACCTGGGGCAAAGCAGCACTGCAAGAGTTCAGCTGGTCAGCAGGTTCTGATGTGTTCTGAGTAAAGGCATCCTAGGGGAAGAAAGAAAAGAGTCTGTATTTATTGATAGGACTGGGAAGAGAAACCCCCAGTTCCTGGTTCTCGGATGGCAAAGGCCACGGTGCAGGCTTTTGGAGGGCTCACGACTCACCTTGGGGTTTAATTAGCAGCAAAACGTTCAAAACAGGTTCTGAGTGCAGGGGAGCTCCTGGGTCTTATTACAGAACATCTACTGCAGGCAGCAACATTTACTTTGTGCTCTGCATGCCCTACGTAAGACACATTCCCTCCCCGACTGGTTTACAGTGTAGGTACAGTGTTTGTAATCCTGTATCATCCTGTTTGCAGAGAGCCCTTCATCTGCAGGACTCCCACATCCCCCACAGCAATCCCCCCATGGGCTGGGATGGAGGGGTCTCTCTGCAACTCAAAGCCACCCATGCCCTCGTGGGGCAGAGGGACAGCCCCACTCCTTGCTGTGGTTGGGAACATCCCTGTAGTACATGGCAAGTGCAATGGGCATGAACTGGAAATCCATCATCAAATGGCTGCTGTCAACAGCCCCTGGCTGGAAGGGTGGAGGGAAAGGCTCAAAGGGAAAGTGACCCCAGTGCCATCCGTCCCCCCAGCCCATGGGCTGGCACACACATCCCACCACCTACTGCTGCTGTGCATCTTCCCTGGGCTTAGACATCCCCATCCAGCCCTCCCCAGGACTTGTTACAGCCTCACATCACAGCTGCCTGGCGCTTCAGAAGATGAAAGGTGCCAGG